TTTTTGGTATGTATTCGGAAGAGCTTTTTATACTATATCTAATGATGCCTCGCGCGTCCATTTTCGTCACCTCTTTCCCTAGTTATGATCTCTAGAAGTCATCACTATCACTTTGTCCGAGGACTTATGACTCAACCTAATATAATGTTCACATTCAAACCCTGCAGCCCACCTCAGTTTGTATTTTACTCCTGCGTCACCTAGTATCACAAAAACTCCAAATATGAGTGTAGCTGCATTTTCCTGCCGTCTAGGCCGCTATTAGGTCCTCTCAACTGTCTACCTTTGAATTAATGTAGTGAAATGATCACTACATTTACAAATGCTCTTACTGAGCTGCACGAAAAAGTGAAGTCGTAAAACTGATGAAGTCCGCTCTGATATGCGTTCAACTGCTACCCAGAGTGGTTGAGTAATTCGAAAGCGCTTTCAGCTCAGACTGCTTAGCTTTTAGCTCTGCTAAGATTTGCCGACTCCACGAATCTGCATTTTCACTCTTCTGGTGTGGTGGTAATCTGGTGCTAAATAACTAGCCATTTGGTGAAAGGGCTTTGTCAGCCGGAGCAGGTGCCTTTCAGTGATTTATTTTCGAACAGAACGTGAGTAGCAGTGGTACTCTCCGCCTCTACACAAAGAGCCGCTGGAAATATACTCAGAAACAACCCGGAAGGCTACAAAAACTTATATAAAAGTATTGCGTGAAGTTAAACTAGAGGCTAGAATACGGTTTCTTCGCATCAGCGGGCTGAGCTGAGCCCCTGCGTGTACCTTAAGCTATAGAAGTAGAAAACATCAATTATGCCAGTAGACCTAGAAGCAACTTTTTAAGTGCCAGCACGATCACCCTGCGTTAGTGCGAACCTGATAAGATGTGAAACAGTTTCAGGAGCGAACAATACAATTCGGTAATCTTGGAGCTGCTCCATTCATACCTGCTGAAGAAGCGGGAAGAATCAATCCATTCACTGACACTACTCTCGACCACGCGAGCTGAGTACACTCAACGAAAAAATAAAAATTATATTATGCTCTTCTGAACAGCTGCCCATTATCGACAATAACTACTGGTGAGTAATAGGCTGACATCTAGTCTGCCTTCGTGGAACTTCACGAAGAATCGAGCGGGCATATAGGTGGAAACAGTGTAAAACGATTACGATCATGAGATAAGACCAGAAAATAAAAATGGATGAAGTTTTGCTGCATACTCAATTAATTCGTTGCTCGTTTGCACCGTGAGCTACTGTATCCACAGCAATCGCAACGGTACTGCGAGTCCAGAACATGGAGAAATCAGTGTATATTATTCATATACCAGTTTGACCGGCTAACGCCGGCGTCCTCTTCTTCTTTGAAGAAGTTGTAGTAATCGTGTAAATTCCACCTTCTTTGAAACGTATAACATTTTTCTGTACATGAAATTTGACACAGGATCATGGGTGTAGTGCAAATGGTATTCAGTGTGAGCCGGTGCTTACGCATTATTTAGAAGTGTTGATCTTTTGCTCTCCCTCATTTCGAAATAACAACCCATTGGCTATGTGCAAATAGTGTGTGCACAAGCCCCTGGTTATTTAATTCTTGATCTTGTTCTTCTTTGTCCCTTCGAAGAGGCTGTCCGACCGTCTGCCTCCCTCCCCCATAGAACTGCCTCAGCACGCCGGCGGACCATGAAAGCAGCCATTAAGGTTTAACTGTTAGGAAACCAAAGTCTGGGCGGTACTCACAAGTGCTTCAATTAATGATAACATCACTACCGGATATCGTTATCGATAGACATTTGAAATCCCATATTAATGGTAGTCGGATAAGTTCTGTCACAAATGATATCGAACGACGAGGATCCTTCACTGAGTCGCAGACCTTGCAGAGTAGCGGTCGTAATTTAACAGCCAGAAATGAACAAAACTCTCACCTGTTAATAGTAGTGCCTCTAATCGGGCCCTATCACTGCGCTTACCGATCACTTCTTTCACTCTCCTCTACCATCCCATACGATCGAATGAAACATACTGAACAGACAAAGCTACATCGTAAATACAGGAGTCGTTGAGATTTTGATTGGTTGATTTTTCTCACTTTCTTAAACCCTTTATCTCTTATCAATTTTTATCAGCTCCTGTCACCAAGTAGCTACGATCTACGTCACATCCCATATCACTAACTGGAATCCCGAGGTTCCACTCTTGATACGAAAGGCTTCACAAACCGAACCTACTTTGGCCCGTTATCAGTCTATCAATTCTTTTAACTCCTTGTCACCTAGCGGACAACAAAAAATAACTAGAGAAGCAAAATTACTGGAGAAACAACAACATGGAAACTGTGAAATAGGGCACATAAAATATAAAGGGGTGAGTAACTGGGAGGTGAGATAGGTCTAGTAGGAAGTAGTCCTGGTTCTAGATGATCGTTGAGAAACTCATCAAAAGCGCCAATTTTAAGCGGATTGCTTCTCCAACAGAATCGACTCCTAGAAAGATAGGTTTCCACGCACAACCTTTGGTGATAGGTCTCCTCGCACTTAAAGCGATGTGAGATTGAGACCGGAGCGTCCAAAAAGCATTTTATTGAACAATAATCAATCGAATTCTTCCTACACCAACTAAGCGAGCGGATACCTGAGTTGAAATTCCTCGTCTTAGCAGAAGGAGTGTTGTTTTATTGAAATCCGATAGTTTCCGATAGTTTTCTATTGAAGCCATTCTGAACTCACTCTATAGGTCGTGAAATTTGCTCATTTTAGGGTTGAAGATGAGATTGCCAAATTCATCCAAGGGCCTTACATAAGACTTATAGGCTCAAAGGAGCACAGAGAGATTACTTCTGGTTAGAGCTCTGAATACTCTAGCATGACCTCCTGAATAGCTTCCTCGCTATTTCCTCGAAGTGACTGTCAAAGCGCACCTCAGAAGTTAATACAAATCCCAAATCAACAACTTTATCAACAGCTTGGCCGGCAACCCTATCAATGTATGTCAGTACAAAGTTGGACCTGGTGCTGAGGCAGAAATCCTTATGTCGTTAGCAAACCCCATGCATCGAGCTGCAAGGAAAGGATCAAACCTCCCCTACCCCAGCCCTCGCTTCCCACCTTGAGTAATTCGCTTGGAACATTTTTAGGTTTGCGTTGACTATTAAAATGAAACGGTCATGAGGAAGGCCCTAATCCAAGTCATGATGCGAGGAGGAATACCTACAAGTTGTGGTTTATCAGGTATATCAGTTTACTGTAGATAGTTTATCAAAACCTTAAGAATAATCCAGGTGAATGAAATCAGTAGACATATCCTTATCAGGGAAGGATTCTTAGCCATTTACGCTAGAGAGCATAACCGTGAACGTAGATTTACGTTTTTGGATCCACGTTGATTCAGCCTCGATTCTATTTCCCCGACCCCTTCGGAAAGCCATGCAAAAATTAATGTAATTCTGGGGCAACAACCAAGAGCGAACTGAACCAACGAAGCCTTTTTTGGATAAGGAGTAACAAGTGGAACTTTCCATATGCTAGCCAGCTCTCATGAAGCTAAGGGTATAGAAGTACTCTAGGGGACTAGCTTTAACCTAAGCCACTCTCTCGATAAACCAGAGGGGTGTGCAGTCACAGGTAATCGAATAAGACGATAGCCATTGAGAAAATGGGTGATAGAGTTCTTCAGCGTTGAAACAAACAGAGTCCATCTTAGGAAATCAGTCCATCTCCCTCTTAGGAAAACAAGTGGAGGTAGTAACTCCAACAGTATAGCCACTAGAGGGAAAGATCTGGGCAAATGATTGCTCAAATCCGCTAGCACACAATCCAGCTTTCAACCTCATCTGAGACGGCAACACTCACAGCGCCAGCAACCAGTTTCGGAATAGCATTTCTGGATTCAGCTCTGCAATTGGGGAGCTTGAAGGAGGAGTTTTGCTCTCACTCTGGATAGTTTTCTTTTCAACATTGTTGTTATGCTTCCAAAGCTGCCGGTCGAAACGTTTGTTCAACGTTCGATACAATACCCATTCTTCAGGTTCGTCAGACGAAATAGCTCTCGTTCTCAAGCAGCTGATCACTTTATTGAGAGAGTATAAAATTATGGAAGGCGATTTTCATGAAAAGGAACCGTAATCATGGGGAGAAACAAATTGATGGAAAAACACTGCCAGATAAAGTTCGTACGTCACATCAGTGCTATCCACCAAATCCAACAACCCGTACCAAACAACTCCATTAAGATAGGTGTTAATGAGATCCACAGTATTGTGATCATGCTTAGGCATTAGCAGAGAATGAGCATAATTAATATTGACTCGGAATTTCATGGAGGGTGGTTCCTTGAATGAATAGGTGGTCCAACTTTCATATATGAGCCAGTGAATCGTCATTACATAGAATCAGTAATATTACCAAGCGTGTTCAAATTCACAAATTGAAACAATGAATGCTAGGAGCACGCCTTCAAAAATGATTTCTGAAAGAGACCGGTGGCAGTGGGGATTGAAGACCAAGTCAGTTCAGGTAGATTGAATTCAGTAATGCTCGCAAAAGATTAGATCGCTAATCGCTGTGAGTAACTGCACCGATACTGGCCTTGGGCGAACCGGAATTGGTACAAAGTAAGAAACCAAGACTCACACTTCAATATCCCATTAGTATTCCCTCAGAAGCGATTGCATGTCATTTTTGGAGTTGAGCCACGTGTCAGCTAGCAAAGCAATGTCATGAGGGCAAAACTTAAGCGAGGATTAATTTCTATCGAATATCTTAGATTTGAGTACAGGACCATTTTTTGCCACATCCTAGAATCATCAGTAGAATCCGGGAACCTTTAGTAACATGTGAAGTAGAACATTCTCAAGGCTCTTTGGAACAGACTGTGATGAAACAACTACGGACTCATTATGGAGAACTTACGAACTATGAATAAGGGTACTTGAGCTCTCCGGAAACCGTGCTCTATCCTTTACACTACTCCGCTTGCCCTCGCCTTCTGTATGGCTTATATGCATTGGCTTATTAGCGCTCACAAGTGCAACTTATTGAGCCGGTAGACCCAATATTAGCACAGAACTGTTAAGCTGCAAGTTTTACATGAGAGAACTTGTTTCGACTTGATGTTTTGTTGAGTGCTGTTATACGAGGGTTGCCTTTAACATTTCGGGGTTAAGCAACCCTAGTGTTGCATTCTGGCAGCTCTATCGTGAAGCTTGACAATTTTTAAAGGTTATTCTCACTCAGAACTTTTTGACATATGGGCGCTCCTTGTGTTGTTTACACTAACTTAAAAAATTTACTCAGGCTTTGGTGCCCCCCCCCCCACTTAGGCCGAACCTCCTTCCCACTTAACCTCCCGCTCCCTCTTTGGCGATGAAGCTCCATCAAGGATCATTGCTTGTCGATGGTGTGGTGAGTTCAGCCGAAGTCGTAGTTCACTCCAAGACGTATTTCGTGGAAGTCTCCAAAATCAATTGTTGTACGCAAACTAATATTGCAAGATCGTCATGTGACCTGTCGTGGTTTGAGACAAGCTTAGGCGTTAAAGGGACCAGCATACATTTAATATTGCATGAACATTTGACTGTAAAAAAATATGTTCGCGTTGGATCCCACAAAATTTGTCAACCTCTCGAAAAAAGCGCTCGTGTCGATTGTTCGGAAGAAATGTTCGATTAATAATATGATCGCGGTGCTCGAAACACGTCTATGACCTTGCGACAGGTGATGGGTCATGAGTTTATCCGAATGAGCCCGAAAGTAAAGTATTTCAAGATGAGCCAAAACCAACTAAAGCTGTTCGCGCACGAAGCACTTTCAAGGAAGTGGTCGCTTGTTTTTTTTTGGAAAACTGGACATGTCGCAACCATACCCCAGGAACAACGCAGAACGTTAATTCTGAGTGGTATACGAGCACTTGTTTGCCAGTTGTCTTCAAAAATCAGGGAAGCCAACTGCCGTAGTTGATAACTCTTCACCACGACGAGGCGAGCTCCCACACATCGGCTCAAACAACT